TTGTTGGTATATATTCATAGACACAAAAATGCAGAGGGAGAGGTAGAAGAGGAGGAGGAAGAGAGAGAGAAGAGGGAGAGGAAAAAAAGAGAATAAAAGAAATGAACTAAAGTATTGAAAACTAGTATATCTGGGTAGAGAACCCATAGGAGTTCTCTGCACTATTCTTGCAACTATTGTGTAAATCTAAATTTACAACTGTTTAAAAAGTGTAATAAAGTTGATATTTAAATAACAGATATAACCCTGGCTATATAAAACAGAAGCATACAGTTATTCTATGATGGGAAGTGAAGAAAAACCCACAAAGGGACATTACAGATTTATCATTCGCCAACTGTTTCAGGATCACACGTTTGTTGCTATAAATACAAAGTCTCTATTAATGATAGGTTACAGAACTATGTAAAAACTTGCAACAACCTAAGGGGTAAAACATCAGGTGAGATTTCTGAGCCAAAAGTAATTTGGGCAGAAAGCACACAAGTAAGCCAATAAAGCATTCCAACATTAAATCTTGGCTTCCTTTGACGTCAGCCCAAGCAGACCAAGGCAAGTGACGACACAGGAGTCAGCACAGGAGGAAATGTGTGCCAGGTGGTGCCCAGCATCTTGGAAGCGCAAATTTAGCAGGTAACATAAAACTCCATAACTCTATCTTAAATGCTGGTATATAAATCACAATATACCTCTTCTCTTGAGAGTCTGTATGCAGAGAAGTTCTTGAGAGTTTCTCAGAGTGTGAAAATAAGTTGCAACCAACAATGACCGTTGAGTATTATTAAGCCTCTGCAGGTTAAAATTAAAAACTAAACTAAACAAAAAAAACATAGATTGAAAGAGCCTTTTTTGCTTGCTTTTTTTACAATACTTTTAATTTCAAACTCAACAGGAAACAAGATAATCACACATAGCTGAACGTCAAGACAATTTCAAACCCATAAATAAATGTCTGTTATTGATTAACAAAGACCTTAGTACTGATCAAACTGTATTTTCCTTCATAGTCTCTGCTTTCCTAATATATTCTGCATACATATATCTCAGAACTCTTAGAGAGACAGAATTTTGTAGAAATGTTTTCAAGCATTTTTCCCTCTCTGGCTATACAAATAAAAAAAAGGAAAATGGAATGCTATGTAAAAATTATGTATCAATTGCAAAAAAATAAGATAATGATCCAAAATTATTTCTTTTACTTACTTTTTAAAGTCTTAAATCTGAGTTTTAAATATGGAAAGCATATACCTATTATCAGGACCAGTGACCCCACTGCAGGAATTCTCACTCAAAATCTAAAACTTTGGCGTGAGGTCAGTAAAATATTCCTAGTGCACCCTTTTACTCTAAAAGCCTCTGTAAGCCATTAAAGTTCTAATTTGAATAATTACATTCCACCTACATAAATTCCCTCTGTAGTTTCAACTGTATGCAGTATCAGTCTTCATTTCCTGAATTAAATTGGTGTCGTGTATTGTGGTGCTTCTTTAAAAAAAAAAAAAAAAAAAAAAGAACATTTACTTTCACAGGTAACCTTTCAGCAACCAGAAGTGATTCATGTGCATGAGGGGAATAGGTCAGTATGAATAATCATTAACTAACAATTTGTGCCAGGATTTATTGTGTCGAGCATTGCAAAAGGGACATCTCATCTAATGAAATGAATATAGCTATACAGCTGTATAGAAATCAAGTATTTTATAAACTAAATCCTGTTTTCCATTGAATTGTATCAATGCATCATTAGAAGCTTTATTTTCATTTATGGCTTGCCTTTAATTAGCTGATACTCCTCATGTTTGATCACTTCTACCTTTCTAGTCAAATAGGTAATGAACTGCAAATTAATACTGAAAATCCTAACCTAAAAAAAAGAACCACTGAGTAGCGTTTAAAAAATAAGTAAGTCTTTCTCATACAGGGAATCTTAAAAATATGCTTCCCCTTATGAAAAACCAACAGAATTTTTGAAAGACCGAAAAACAATTCTTACAACAAAATTTGTTACTCAAAGTGAATTTCCAGTGTTACCATAATAGTATTTATTCAATAAGCCCAAAGGACTAGTATTACATGTCCCTTTAATGAGATTTGATTTTTGAATCCTTGGATTTTTCTTAAATAACGTGTCTACAAGTTGCTGAGTGACCTTCAAGAGTGGTTTTTCTCAGAGTCAAGAAAAGCAGCTGTGTTCCTTGCAGGATGCTCAGGGACTTCCAGAGATCTCCACACCATGACAGCTATTTCAGTCCTTGAGTCATCAGATAAATTTAAAGAGAAAAATTTATCCCAATTGTCAAAAATTCTGTTGAACCCCATGACCTAAGCATGTTTAATTCATCAAAGCTGTATAGTAGCAAAGATGTCTTCAAATATGTTGAATTAGTTAATCCTTAAATCTCATTATTGTAATTTCTGCTCAATTAAAAGTACGATTTACTGGTATTTAATGAAACTGTAAATTAAATTATCTGTTACACCTAGCATTGGTCTCAAATTCATAAAATATAGACCTAATTGTAAAAACATATTTTCCTTTCTTCCTAGAATTCCATTCTACTTGGATTCTGAAAATAGCATCCTCTTTCCTCTAGGAAATGTCACCTATACTCCAACCCCAATTCCCTCAGAACAATGGGATTCAAAGAGATGTTGTCATTTTCTTACAGATCACTTGGCCTAGCCACAGGCTTGGGGTGTGGACTTGTTCAAAGCTGGACCAATCACAGTTCCCCATCCTGGTGGCCAAAGTTGATCTGTATAATTGTATGAACCAGGGCATGTGACCCAAGCTTAATAAATCACAGTCCTTCCCCAAGATATTTCAAACTGAAACTCAGGCAGTAGGAGCAATCTCTCTCAAGCAGTGAAGAAACTGGGCATGCAAGCTGTCAGTGGCCATGTGCCCCGCTATGCAGGGAAAGCTGGTCTGAGAGAACTAAGCCAAGATGCAGAGAAGAACTTACAAAGAAGACAGAGCACTCTGGAGGCAGTCAAGTCCTGGCTCTAGTTGTCCCTGACAATTGCCTCACTCCTGCCTTCCTTGTGTGTATAGAATAAGCTTTCCAATATACCAAAGTTAATTCAAACTATTTTCCTAATACCAGTAGCCAAGGAAACTCTACATAATATACCAAACAAATTCTAACATAATAAATTTCACTTCTTAGGGGTAGGGCCTAGGAATACCACAAGAAATTCAAATACGTCTGCAAATTCAAATATATCTAATGCAAACTTGGCTTTAGTCCATGAACCGACATTTAGGAATAACTGGATTTAACACTTTCTTCACTGCCTTCTTCACTGGGGATAAACCTTGTCCTTTCATAAGACAGTCAAGGTCTTGTGAGCAAGACCTGTACCTTACGTTTTATAATGAATTTCTCTGGCTCTCAGCACAAGCCATGAACATAGATGTTCAGTAGGAATATACTGAGCTAAAAATATGAAGATTGGGATATTATGATTGCCACATGATCCTCTGGAATATCATCAGATCCAAAGTAAGGAGATTTTGTGTTCTGGAAAATTCATTCTTAAAAGAGTGATAGTTGTACAGCAAGACAGCAGTAACAAAATCAGGGGAAAAAATCATTATTAACTGGATGGTTTGTTACCAAAAGATACATGCCTGTGGATGGATTTTAAAAGGAATGTGGACGGCTGTGAAGAAGGCATTTTTAATCTGAAGTGAAGACTCTGACTCCAAAGCTCAGCAAAGAAAGTCTATGTTTCCCTAAAGATTGGGTCTAAGACAAGTCTGCTAGGAATTCCAGATTAAAGAGTGAACAAGTGTAAAATACATTATATATTAAACGTGTTAAAGTATATTTAAAGCCATATGCCTGTAAACCTCCCTTTTTATGTTTACAGTACCCCTACATTAAAATATTTTTGCATTCAAAGTAAGTGATCAGTTTGCTTTGGGCTAGTGACCCACTATCGAGAGAACCTGAAAGACAAGGGTTGAGATGAGAATCTCCTTCCCAAGAGAAGGCCCTGCTCAAATGATGGAAGTGGAATAAAACAGCAGCCCTGCTTTAAAAATTTAGCATCTCCCAAAGAAGCTAAAGGATTCTCTGACCTTCTTCATCTCACTGACTACCAGAACTCAGGAAGAATTTCAATACCATAATTATAATAAGTAAAGCAAACTAATTCTAACTCCTTAAAGCTAATACCTATGCCCTTAACTAGTTCTAACTAAAACAAAAAGAAAAAAAAAAACTAAGCTGGTTATTCTCTGTATAATTTTAATTTTTAAAAGCTTATGTATTCATTTTAGTTATTTGTTTTATACAACTATTTAGCACAATGCATGAACTTAATACATATTAATAATGGAAGAAATCAAATCCTATAGCAAAATGCAAATTCTACTTAACTGTATAAACTTACTAAAACAGCTAGGTTCTAGACATCAACTTTAGGACAACAGAATTTTCTCTAAGTTATTCCAGAAGACTATTTGCATAAAACTTTTGGAAATCTCTACTCCAAAGTTCTTCCACTGTAAACTGCACTTAATCTTTTCAATTAGCAACATGCTTAAAAACACAATTGAATATCTGGGATCAGTGGTCTAGACATTTCTACAAACTGCAATCATATACCTATATAACAACAGAGCAACTGATTGTGACTCAAACCCATCTTGCAACTACACTAATAATTTGGCATTAAAAGGATATCCAAATAGGGCCATATTTACAGAAAATAGTGTCGCTTAGTGTAATTTATTAAGAATCTTTATTTAAAATTCTCAGAAAAGTTTAAATTACAGACCCAGAGAACTGATAGTTACTTTCATTAACCTCTCCTCTGCTTATGACTGTATTAGAAAGCCTTAAAAAGAAATTTAGTAAAGTAAAATTTCATTTCAATGCATTTTTATAACCCTCTTCCCAGAATAGGAATAATAATCAGCATTCTCAATTCTAGTGCTTGAAAAACAATGAAGTATGTGCTTTAAAGAATGAAGTTATATTCATTTTCACCTGCATTGATGCTCCTTCCACTCTTGCCACACAGGCGACCCGATCCAAGAAAGTCACTGCCACAGGCACTGCCACAAAGAAGCCTTTACAAAAGGCCTTGAGGTATCTTTTCACCCACGCTTGCGACTGTGCCATACCTAAAAACACAAAGAAAACAGCTATGAAACCAGTCTCAAGAAAGGTGAAAAGCAAAGACATAAAAACAGTACGTGAAAAGTGAGTTCGAGAAGGGCAATCTTGTCTCTTAATATATTTCACACTCATTCCTGTAACCATTAGAATAAATTTGACTTTAAAGTCCCAAAGTGAAATACATGAACTCAGACTAACTCTTTTCCACAAGTCCAGTCCACTTTATAACTTCAATGGGAAATTTCTCCCCACAAAACAATAAGTTAGAAAAAAATAAGCATTCCAAAAGTAAATCCTTTTCTGCTGCTATTAAGATGAAGATACGCCTTATACCCCTGATATCTGTTCTCTTCTACAGTAATAAAAGTTTCAGTGAAACATGTGGCCACCCAGCTGAAGACTATTTTCCAGCCTCCCTTGCCCCTAAATGTGGCCATGTCACTAGATTTGATCAACGGCATAAGTAGGAAGAATACTTCTAGGTTGCACCCTTAAAAGGAGGATGCCCTCCCTTTTCTTCCCCATTTTATAACTGTAATAGTAACAATATGGTGCAGAAGCAGGAGTGGTCATCTCAAACTACAAGATAAAAGCTTCAAGTAAAGATGACAAAGCAACAAAATAGAAGGATCCTAGTTCTGTAACACCATGGCAGCACCATACTATCCTGCAGTGCTTACACTTGGACTGTTAAATCAGAGATAAATCACTTGCACTGTTTTTGTTGTTTTTGTTTTTAAACAGGGTCTCACTCTGTCACCCAAGCTGGAGTCCAGTGGCATGATTATAGCTCACAGCAGGCTAAACTCCTGGGCTCAAGCCATTCATCCTCCATAGCCTCCCAAGTAGCTGGAACTACAGGTGCACACCACCATACCCAGCTAATTTTTTTTATTTTTATTTTTATAGAGTCTGGGTCTTGTTATGTTGTCCAGACTAGTCTTAGACTCCAGGCCTTAAGCAATCCTCTGGCCTCAGCCTCTCAAACGGCTGGGATTACAAGTGTGAGCTCCCATGCCCAGCCCTATCATGTTCAAACTGTGCAATATTGGCCTTCACTATAGTAGCCAAACTGATCCTAACTAATACAACAATGAAATCTATGATAGACCTGACATGCGTTTTGGATATTGTTGTGCATTTTTTGATATTAGCCTCATGTCAGAAGTATAGTTTGCATATATTTTCTTCCATTCTGCAGGTTATCTCTTCATTACGATGATTGTTTCCTTTGCTGCCCAGAAACTTTTTGGTTTGATGTAATCCCCATTGTCTGTCTTTTGCTGTTGCCTGTGCTTTTGAACTCTTATCCAAAAAACTCTTACCAAGACTTCAGTGTTGTGAAGTATTACTTCTATGTTTTCTTCTAGTAATTTCATAGTTTTAGGTCTTACAGTTAAGTGTTTAATCTATTTTGAATTAATTTTTGTATATGGTGAGAGATAAGGGTCTAACTGTATTCTTCTGTGTATGGATATCCAGTGACTGCGATATTTTTAAATCTGTTTACATAAAACTCCAGGTTATATAAAAACCTGTAGGTTATAAAAAAACAATGTAATGATTTGAAACTAGCATTTTTTTAAAAAAATGAAATACAATAGACTAGAATTATAGCTTGTTATACATTAAGGATAAGTATTGTTTTGTGAAGCTATAAACCCTTATTTGCTGCAATGTGTATATATTTGTGTGTGTGTGTGTGTGTGTGTGTGTGTGTGTGTGTGTGTAAGAGTGAGTCCTGTGTTGCCATATAAAATGTATTTCTTCATGTGGTCATGGCCAAAAAAGTTTAAAAGCCATTGTGGTAGATAACTTTGGAGAATTCTTTTTTTCTGACAGGGCCAGGGGGCAAAAAAGAATATTATCTGTTCACTTAGAAAATAAAAATAAAAATACTCAACCACTAATTCCTTCCACAAGAAAAAGATGAATAATAATCTAAATTGGCTAAATTTTTTTTCAGCACTGCTAGCTGTTTATTTTGGACAAAAGAAAAAAAAAAGCAATTGAACTGTTTTATAGCTGGAAGCATGAGCAAGGAGGGTCCCCAGGCAGTAAACTCCCCATCCATCCCCCACCACAGCCCTGCAGGTGGGCTGAGGGCTAGGGCTGAGCCTCAGGTGGGTTTCCTGTTCCCTGTGCTGTCTTGTGCAGGGGTCTCCCTCCTGGGCTCTGGAGCAGCTGCAGGAGGGCCAGGCTGGGAGGGGCTGCTGCAGTTCTTCACTTGGGCAGGATGTCAGAGGACTCGGAGACCAGCTTCTCATCACAGGTCTCGATCTTCTTCACAATCAAAGCCCTGGTGGAGCTGGTATGGCTGAAGGAGCTGGTGAAGCTGAAGGAGCTGGAGCCCAGGCCATAGGTGAAGCCGGAGCTTGTGAGGCCATAGGCCAAGCTCAGACCATCTGCATAGCCGCAGGTGGTCTTCACATGGATACTCATGTTCTGCATCCCCAACCCCAGCCGGCTCTCCTCGCCCTCCTGCAGCTTCCTGTAGGTGGCAATCTCGATGTCCAAGGCCAGCTTGATGTTCATCAACTCCTGGTAGTCATGCAGTTGCCATGCCTTGTCCTGCTTGGCCTCCAGTTCGAACAGCTTGACATTGTCATCCTTAATGGCCAGCTCCCCACTCTGCCCAGCATTTGCAATGGTGGCCCCTAGGGAAGCCCTCTAGCCTTTGAGGCCCTCGATCTCAGCCTGGAGCCGGCTAATGTTCCAGTTCATCTAGGAGATCCCAGTCTTTGTAAGCCACAGGTCATCTCCGTGCTTCCCAGCCAGCATCTGCAGATCCTCATACTTGATCTGGTACATGCTCTCAGCCTCAGCCCAGCTGTGGTTGGCGAACTCCTCATACTACGCCTTGACCTCAGTGATGATACTGTCCATGTCCAGGGAGCGGCTGTTGTCCATAGACAGCACCGCAGACATGTCCAAGATCTCGAACTGCAGCTCCTGTATCTCCTCTTCATACAGCTGCCTGAGGAGGCTGATCTCATCAGTCAGCCCCTCCAGGCAAGACTCCAGCTCTACCTTGTTCATGTAATCTACCTTGTTCATGTAAGCTTCATCCACATCCTTCTTGATGAGGACAAATTCATCCTCCATCTCTGTATGCTTATTGATCTCATTCTCATACTTGTTCTTGAAGTCCTCCACCAGCCCCTGCATGTTGCCAAGCTCCACCTCTAGCTTCAGCTTCTCCAGGTCCAGAGTCTCTAACTGCCACCTAAGGTTGTTGATGTAGCTCTCAAACGTGTTGTCCATGTTGCTCTGAGCCATCTGCTGCTGCTACAGGAGGTTCCACTTGGTCTCCAGCATCTTGTTCTGAAGCTCCAGAAACCGTACCTTGTCTATGAAGGAAGCAAACTTATTGTTGAGGGTCTTGATCTGCTCCTTCTCCTGGGTCCATATGGCCTGGATGTTGGGGTCCACCTCCAGGTTAAAGGGGCTCAGCAGGCTCTGGTTGACCATGACGGCGGCGATGCTTCCCATGCCACTGGCCCAACATAGCCTCTATCTAGGCTACCCTAGAAGCTGCTGCTGCCCACTCAGAAGAAGCTCGAGGAGATGTGGGCATCAGGCCCACTCGTGTAGGAGTGGCTGCTAAAGGTCTGGGGGCCAGAGGTGGACACCCTGTGGAACTTCTGGGTCACCCTGATGGACATGGTGGAGGTAGGTAGGCTGAATCAGCCGGAGATTCCAGAAGGAGCAAAGAAGCTGCTTCTTGGTTAAACTGGCTAATTCTTAATGACCTACTGTATCCGACATCCATGAGGGCTATATGCATGCACAGTAAGTAATGAAGACCAGTATTCTTTTTATACTTTTATCAACATATATTGCATATAACATTCACCTAAACCAGTAATCTTTTTATATCTAACCAAAATAAATGTAACTCAGACTAACTTTAGAAAACAAGCAATTTAAAAACATGTTTGCATTCAAACTCATCTAACAACCACAATCTTAAGTTAAATTGCTTATGAGTTCACACATCTGGTATTCAAGAAATGTACTTGGCCCAAGGTACTGACTGTTTCTGTGAGCAGACTTAACTACTACACTCCTAAAAGAGTAAACCGGCTTGACATGTTTCATTCATTCATACCCAGCTTTAATTTGAGCCCATGAGTAAAACTAATTTCTTTTCAATGACAGCTTTTGCCTAGAATCAAAACACCTTTACTAACTCCTTTTGTATATCTCTACAAAAGATTTAATATACTTTTTCAATGGACTATTTTACAAAGGTCCCATTTATCATATAGAAGAGTAACTTTGGCATATTTATCAAATCAGTACCTTCAAGATGCAAAAGATGCATTTTCCTCAATATTATATTTCATTAGCTCAGTCTCTCTGAAAATACTTCTAACCACAGGTTTAACAACACAAACATCAGTCTTAAAGAGTAAATTTAAAAACTGAATGACTGCTACATCTTTTCTATTTGATGCTTCCAAAATATAAGTAAAAAACAAGTCCAAAAGATTTCAGATTATAAAATATCTGGAGCCACAAATAATTTATAAAATGCTCCCATGTACATAGAAAAAAAAATGTGTTACTATGAAGAAGAGAAAGAAAATGGCTCAGCAGTAAATAGTCAATTCCTCTTTGACCAGTTTGATATCTTTAAAGTTATTTTAAGGGGTCTACACTCCTGTTTAAGTCATACAGCTCCCAGATAATAATTCCAGGGTAGTGTCTCCCAAGCTCCCCTTGACTGACATGCCTAAAAGTGAAGATCTCTGGCTAGGCACGGTGGCTCACGCCCATAATCCCAGCACTCTGGGAGGCCAAGGCAGGCAGATCACGAGGTCAGGAGTTCAAGACCAGACTGGCCGATATGGTGAAACCCCATCTCTACTAAAAAATCCAAAAATTAGCTGGGCATGGTGGCTCATGCCTGTAATCCCAACTACTTGGGAGGCTGAGGTAGGAGAATTGCTTGAACTGGGACCCGGGAGGCGGAGGTTGCAGTGAACCGAGATCGCGCCAC